TCTCTGTTCATCCCTGTGGAGGGAGCCGAGTACACTGAAGACAAGCTTAACACAATTGGGCTAACTTCACTCAAAATGCAAGTACACATGGACCAATCATATATTTATATATGTTCAATGCATCCTGATCAATCATGACCTATGAGGTGATATATAATTCTTTCAATTCATTCTTTCTTTTCATTATTTCACTTCTAACTTCAATATAATTTCTTGGCAGTTACCTGTTGCATATCAAGTTTCAGGTGCAGATGTGAGTGAAATAAGAGCAAACTAGAAACATGTTGATTTATTGTTAAGATTAAGCAACATTGGATAAATGCTAAAATTGCTTCCCAAATGTGTTTTTCACAAATAATATATTAAATCACAGTGTTGTGATAATGTGTCATGCCCTACCAAAATTAGCAATTATAGCGGAGACCATGAGGCTGATTTTACCTCGATATTATTCCATTGTTTAATGGGAATGGGGTGGTCATAAGACCAATGTTAAAGAAAAACATTTTCCAATCTAAGTAGCAACATTCCTATTGAAGAGAAGGATGGTTCTCGTTCTGGAATCCAAATTGGTGTTCTCTTTGACCTCATTGCAAGATTTTCAAGAATTGAGGGAGTTTGTGTTTCTTAGAAGATTTCTAGAAAGCATTTTGAAGATTCACAAATGATTTTGCAAGATATTTTAATAGTGATCCGAATTTGACATTGTTTTATCAAGTAAAGATTCAGAAAGGGTTAATTTTGAAGACTGCATTAAGCTCAACTCAGTCTTGTGATGTCATAACTACTTGGATAGGGAAAGACAGACAATCTTAAGATCTCAAAATGCACAGACATATTATTCTAGCTCTTCTCAATGTCTAGCTTACATCATGCAATAAACTGCAGAATTTCCTCATTTACAGTTGCATTCCTGAAAATCACAGCTTAATGTAAAGCATGGTTTTCCATATGAGTCAATTTTAAAATCAGGTTTAGGTTCCTGAGGACAGTTTTTCTCTGTAAAAATCAATGTAAAAATTGAAGTACTGTGTATATGTGCAACACTATACTTCTTTAGCTGAAATAACTTGCAGAGTGAAATAAATAACTGAATATAACAAACATACTTTATAAATTCAAACCAGACAACACTCACTAGACTCTCTAAAGCAGCCCTTCCAAGTCATGGATGACTTGCTTCTGCTCTGGCTGATAGATAACAGATGGCTGTTAGGTTCGTTGTACAATCTGCGGACTCTATCACATGTAGACAGGTTTCCATAACTTCATCCATGAGTTAAGATGTTCTTGCAAACAGTTTCTTTGTCTAAACTCAAGTGGATTTTGGTGTTTTAGGAGTTTTCCTCTTCAGCTTATTGACTGATAAGCGTTTTTTGTCTTCTTTATTTGTTCACGAGATGAGGGCATCACTGGCCAGGGAACATTTATTGCCCATCTTTACTTGTCCAGAGAGCAATTAAGAGTCAACTGCATTGCTGTGAGCTTGGATTCACATGTAGGCCAGACCAGGTAAGCTGTCACGGAAAGGCTGCCAACATCATCAAAGACCCATCGCACCCCGGTAATGATCTCCTACAGCCTCTTCCGTCAAGCAGAATATACAGAAGCCTGAACAACGCACCAGCAGGTTCAGGAACAGCTTCTTCCCAGCTGTTATTAGACTGATGAATGGACTGTCTAACCTCAAATAATGCTGATCTTGCTAATGTTGATCTTGCCTAGCACGTGCCGTGTGCAATGTAATCTGTATGCCTCTGTCTAAGTCATTTTGATCTGTACATCCTTGCTTACTATGATCTGCCTGTACCGCTGGTACACAAAGCTTTTCATTGTGCTTGAGTACACATGACAATAAATCTATCAGTTTCTTTCCCTGAGGGACGTTAGTGAACCAAATGGGTTTTTCCGACAGTAGGCAATGGATTCATAGTCATCGTTCAACTTTTAATTCCAGATATTTATTGAATTCAAATTCCACCATCTGCCGTAGTGGGATTCAAACCTGGGTCCCCATAACATTTTCTGGGTCTTTGGGTTAACAGTCCAGTGATAATACCACTAGTCCATTGCGTCCAATTGGTTCCTTTAGGACCTCATTGGACAATTCCTCTTCATGGGATGCAAGCAGTTCTACCAGTCAAATTGCACCTACTTCAAAGCTAGTCTGTGTTACTAAGATTATGATTTCATGCTGAAACTCAGGAATGGGGTCATTGATCTTTCTGGCTATTATCACACTTGGGCTACAATCTCTACCACAAGTGTTCAAGCATGTCATGTCAATTCGTTCCGCACTGATATTGTTGAAGGTCTTGAGAATGTTGGAGGCATTGATAAATTTCCTGACTGATGGCGCATTCTTGCCATCTGTTGCACTGATGAATTAGGAGAATATAGCGGTCATGAGTCACGAATGTTGCTAATTCTCCCGCATCAATGTGCGGAATCAATGAAGTTGTGTTGGCTGACAAGAAAAGCACCTTCACAATTTTAGTGACATCTTCAAGGCTGCTTGAATGACCTAGGCAGTTATCCAATAGGAGCAGTATTTTGAATACAATGTTTTCAGGTACCCATGGCCACCCCCTGACCTGAAGAAAATGACAGGAGTTAAAAGACAAGTTAGGTGTTAGGAGAGTAGTGGTGGGCTTGCACTCTCCTTTGTCCTAGCTCTCACCCCAGCACACCAGGCCTGGTTATCACAGTCTGCTATTATATACACCCCATTGTTAGTCATTAACAGTCGCCATTAACAGCTATTCACCTTCCCAGCCAGATTGTCTTGTACTCCTTTGTCTGTCCAACTGTTCCTCTCTCCCTGTGCTCTATCCCCACCTATCATTTACTCTTTACCCCTTCCCCCCACCCTATCTTCTGCATATAAACCAACATTTTCCTAGCTACCATCAGTTCTGAGGAAGGGTCACCAAGGTTAACTCTGATTTCTCTTCACAGAAGTTACCACACCTGCTCAGCTTTTTCAGCACTTTCTGTTTTTGTTTCTGATTTACAGCATCCGCAGTTCTTTGGGTTTTTATTTAACTAATCAGTATCGACAGCAAACAGATCCAAACAAAGACAATCCAACTAGAGAATAACTGGTCCAGGAACAAATTGCTATCAAACAGTTGGTGAAGGGCCAACCAGTAAAAGATTTAATTCAACTTCACAGACTCATGGAAGAACCCAAAAGGAAAGAACATTTTATTTGGAAATTAACTGTAATAACAAAAAAAAAAGTGTTTTATATGGCCAAGAAGAACCAGTGACCAGCAAGTCAAACTAGCTTCACAAATTTGACAGTAACAAATGACTGACTGCGAATGTGTTTCCGTTTACCAGTATTGTGCTGAAAGATGGTCACATCATAAGTTCAGTGGGTTGGCTGAGAACACATAATTTGAGAACAGATGGCATTCTAAGATCATAGATGATTTACATGTATGACAGAAGACTCATTATTCTAGCTTCTCTTTGGGAAATTGTCCTGGATGGGATACACAAGGGACAATTAGAGGATGCCACTTTCCAGCAAGAGTTCAATCAGATCTCAAGATGGATTGAAGATCTCATAACTCATTGTGAAACCTGTGATTACATAAGTTTGTCAGAACAGCATCAGCATTAGTCCTATCATTGCTGGAAAAAAATTCAGCTGACATAAACCTGCAGTATTTACAAGAAAATACAAATAAGGAGAAGAAGAATAAGCTCAATGAGCTGTCTTTAACTGAATTTGTTCAGGCATCAAAACAATCTGATGAACAAATTGTCATAACAAATTTGATGTCAGATAAAAATCCATCACAAATATTAATGTCAGAGTGAAGCCAGCTGCAATCCTCAAGTAGCATGACTGAAAATGTAAATATGTTGGCTTCATCATTAAGACATCCAGAGAGAAAATGAAGACCTATTCTACAAGTTGGAGTAAAGAGTTTACCACTTTCAACACACATGTATCTGCGGATTAGGAATAAAGATTTGCTTTAAAAAGTTTGAGGATGGACGTCTTAAGACTGTGTGGGAGCCAAAGCAGAGGTGGAATGACCAATATCCACAGATTCAGGACATGGTCAAGAGAAATTACCTGACCCACAGATCCAGGATATTGTCAAGAGGAAATTGCCTGGGACTGAATCCGGGACACTACAAAAAACATACATATTTCAAAGAGAACCCATCTATGAAGGAAATCCATGAGACTATAGATTACCAGATCATGTTTTGGTGCTTTAGAAGTGATATTATATGAGGTAATTGTTTTGAAAACATTCGTGATGGAAACTGTCTTAAAATCCACTCAAACTAATTAGGTTATAGGGAAAGGCAGAAGATCTTAGGATCTCAAAGGACAAACATGTTATTTCACATCCCCTCGGTCTTAGTAACAGTGTCTAACTTGCCAATGTAATTTGTACCTGCGTGTTATCAAGCAATAAACTACATTTCGTTTAAGATGAGAGTCTCTTCTTGTTAAGACTCATTAGTGGCTTTCCTCTACCAGCGTGATTTAAGTAGATTCTTAGACCCTGTCAAGGAAAGGAATTGGTTGTAACTACGTGCTGATAGTAATTGGCATCGGTATACATACAACAATTACAACAACTGGAGAAATTGTTTTAATATTAAAACCTTATATCACTAACAAGTGAACAGATTCAAAAGGTGTGATTATTACATATCTCAACTAATATTACAAGCTTGTGTGACTTTGTCCTCATAAGTGTCATGGCTGAGTTGGTCTGCATTCTTCCCAGAGATCTGTGAAGTTGAGGTATCATTTCTGCACCGGGGTTTTTCCTTCCACATGTAGCTTCAGTTCTGGTTGAACCAACTTGCTACTCAAGCAACTATCTCGGAGCTGACTTACTCGCCATTCACTTTTCTTGATTACAAACATTGATTTTTTTTATTATAATTTTTAACATGTTTTACTTATTGCCTTTTTTATTTTTGTTAACCAGACCTTACCATTTTATAATTTTATTTTCAAGGTCGAAAATTAAAGAATACACGACCATTCCAAACTGCAGAGGATACTGACTCTTCAGTTGTGCAAAAGCAACAGAACACCACTGTCCCCATTATCCCAAGGATTGGCGTACCAAGGATGCAGAAATTTCAGTGTCAACCTCTGTTTCTCGCTGTGCTACAGTCCATTGAGCCTGATATGGTATATGCAGGCTATGACAATACGCAGCCTGATACATCTGCCAGTTTGTTAACAAGCCTCAATGAACTAGGGGAAAGACAACTTGTGCGTGTTGTCAAATGGGCAAAAGTTTTACCAGGTAAGAAAGTTCATCTTCTGAGTACTGTGTGTCACTGGCATCGTCTAAATTGTGAGTTTATTATACATATGCAAACCAGTAAAAAATATAATTTATTAACATGTTTTATTCTTGAACCCATTTCTTCTTTCAGATTTTATAAAAGTCAAACATTCCTCACCCTAGAAAATAGAAGCTATTTTATTTTTAGAAATTGCAATTCACATCCATTATATCATCAATCAGTTAGATCTAGTTGGTCTTTACTTCAGTATTTAACAACTGGCATCTTAGGTTATGATATTATTTGTGGAAATGACATTGTACATGGTAAAATTACGATTTCTATTCAACATTAAAACAAAAATTTCACCTTAGGATGTGCTGTACTTATCACTTGTTCTTTACAGAATTTGATTCTTCTTTATTTTCTGGTATCCACTATTCGTCAAATAAAGGCTCAAACTCTCACTTCCCACACAATATATAAAACATTCTCACATTGATGTATATTGTAATTTGACGTTCTTCCCTGAAAACATTAATTTACATCATTCTTGTTTCATTCTTATGCTTGTGGCTACGTACTAATAAGTTCATGTTTGTTAGTTGTCTGTCAAGGATACAATTTTTATTTTTCTCGTGCCTTTTGTCCTTACAACACGGCAAAGGTCTTCACATACATTAAGTTATCTTGAATGTAGTCACTGTTGTTCTGAGGCAAACCTGGGAATCAATTTAGTTTGCAGTTTAGTTTCTTGAATCACAATTTAAATGAATGAACAGTTAATTTGTTTGGTAGTACTGGGTGAAGGAAGGACGTCAGGTCATCAACAAAATGCCTGTCCTCATTGAAAACTTAGAGATGTTTTATATGCATTTGAATGGGCAGATGTAGCCTCAGTTAACTATTTAATCCAAAAGATGTTATCTTCCAACAATTCTGTGCTAACTCTGTATGACACTGAAGCCTTTGTCGAGATTCTATACTAAAGTCCAGGAGTGGCACAACCCACAACCTATTGACTGGAATGAAGCAAACCCCCACTGTACCTTCTTAGAGCAGTAAGTAAAGTCATTTTAGGATGGAATTGGCACCAAGATAGTTGTGCTTGGTAAGGGCAATCTTTGTTGCAATTAGGCCAATCTGATTCCTGTACCACCACACCAGTATATTGTTAATTAGTTAAATTTCTTTTACTTTGAACTAGATGAGGGAACCTGCCAGAGGGTTTCATCCAGGGCTTGGATAATACTTCAGACCAATGCAATAATAAATTTGATTAACTTAGCTCAAGAAGCAATTGAAAATTTACCAACAGTGTGCTCATAAACAATATGTGGTTAATTGGTTGAACTCCACCAATAGCTCTATAAATAAGTTCCCTATGTTTGAATCATGCCATCTTGTGCATAAGGTTTCCAAACATGCATCCTTACAGTTTCCCCCCTCCAGTTCAATAAGTGATAATTGTCCATTTCTGTGTCTCTGTCAATCTATTTTCTGTCCCCATCTGGTGTCTTAAGGATTTAGGAGATATAATGTGCCTCTATTGGAAGAAAGCTACAAGGATTCTTTCCTTCCAGGAAGACTAACGTATAGGTCACTAAAGAGACTGTCTTAGAACTGTGATGTCACCTGCAATTAAACCATTAATTCCTCACTCAAAGGGAGTGGCTCTACAATGGTAGTGAAAGTGATCTTCTGCATTCAATTGCCATGGCACTGGGTCTTTTCAAGCTATGTCAAGGGAAACTTAACAGATCACCCAGTATATTCCTACTCGCAGGATATTGCTGATCCATTGCTTGCTGGTTGAATGATTTTATTGCTGTTCTAATAACTATGAGTAACAATAGGGAGTTTTTCACTTTTTTGAATGACAGATTTCCCAAAGTTAATAGAGACAAAAAACTGCGGATGCTGGAATCCAAGGTAGACAAACAGGAGGCTGGAAGAACAAGGAGGCCAAGCAGCATCTGGAGGGAAGGAGCAGTCAACATTTCGGATATTACCCTTCTTCAGGGGTGAGTGTGGGGATAGGGGGAGCTGCAGATAAAGGGGGGGGGGAGGGGTGGAGGCGCACCGTTGGTCTTAGGTGAACACTGTTGGTAGGTGCAACCTGATTAGTTGGTGAGAGGGATGAATCTGGTTGGTGGCTGGAAGGGAGGGTCAGAAGGTGGAATGGAAGAGAGGAGGTGGGGCTGAAAGGGGAGGCAGGGGATGGGTGGCAAATTTATTTGAAATTAGAGAATTCAGTGTTGAGTCCTCTGGGCTATGGGGTGCCCAGGCAGAAGATAAGATGTTGTTCTTCAAATTTGTGTTCCAAATTTGACCGCAAATTTGAAGAAAAACACCGTATCTTCTGCCTGGGCACCCTAGAGCCTGTAGGACTCAACATTGAGTTCTCCAATTTCAAAATAATGTTGCCACCCATCCCCCGCTTCCCCTTCCAGACCCACCTTCTCCCTTCCATTCCACCTTCTGACCTTCTCTTCCAGCCACCAACCAGATTCATCTCTTCCGTCGACCAAACAGGTTGTACCTATCACCACTGTTGCGCCTCTACCCCTTTCCCTCCCCTCATTATCTGCAGCTCCCCCTACCCCCACATCCAGTCCTGAAGAATACCCGAATTGTTGACTGCTCTTTTCCTCCAGATGCTGCCTGGCCTGGTGTGTTCTTCCAGCCTCCTGTTGTCTTCCCAAGTTAAGTCTCTCATTGATGGAACCAATATGTTCATTTAGACATGTTTCAGCAGTGTTTATGAATAGGAAGGATTTTCTTCAATGTCCGGGTTCAGTTCACGCCATGGAAATGGCTGCTAGTTATTTTGAAAGTTACCACATTCATTCACTCTGTGCAAAGTAACAGTTCATCAAAACATTAAGACATTTACATCAGAGGGACATGGATCTTGATAGACAGAATATTGTTGAGTCATGATTGATTGCACAAGGATGGAATCCCAGAATTGCATTGGCAATATAAAGATTGAGAAACCCACTTCCAAAAAGATGTTAACAGAGCAAACAATAAGCATATCCAGTGAACAATCTACTATCTGGAACAGTTCAGAGGTGTCATGTTCTGGAATCCCACAAGAAGTATCAGCAGAGGAGCTATCATGTGGAAGGTCTAGGAGGAGAATGAAGAAGACCCTGAGGAGAAAAGAAACAATAAGGCATGTATAAAAAAAGTTTCCAACACCTCTGGAGTAGAAAAATTAATGACTGACATTTACTGGACAACCATTCAATTAAACTTGGAAGCTCCTGCGTAAGCATCTATTCATCATATTCCCAATGAACTATCACATCAGTCCTAGGTTATATCACACTCACCATTCATTAGAAATGCAGAAATAAGGTAAAGTAAATATGAATATATACACCAATTAAAATATGGATCTAAAACAATTTTGTAAAATATGACCTCCCTGGGGTAAATTTTCAATTTGTCAACCATTCTTAAAAACCACTAGGAACAAAGATGAGAGATAGTAGGAACTGCAGATGCTGGAGAATCCGAGACAACAAGATGCAGGGCTGGATGAACACAGCAGGCCAAGCAGCATCATAGGAACAAAGATGAGATGATTCCCACAGCAATTTTGCATCAAGGCACAAACTGATATTTGCAGAAACTTGGAAGCAAGTCAGCGGTCAATCCATTTGTTTCGCTGTGGTAATTGTCACGTGAGATATAAAAGAAAGAAGAAATTGTTGTGTGGAAAGGAGTCAAATGCAATGTAACTGAGCAGAAAAATAAATCATTCATACAGTTGGGGTAAGAACATATGACCTCCAGAAGGAGATGTGCCTTTAATCGATATTAAGGGAGTGACTTCAAACTACAGAGTTAGAAAACGTGATTCAGCTTACATTTGCGTGACGCCTTTATAAAATGATGCTTCACAGATACGCACAGGGAAAACTGACACTGTGCAAGAAAACAGGTCTTGAAGAACTCTTAAAGCATACATACTTGATTTAGATATTTGATTTGGGAAACTGTCAGGTAACCTCACCATGGCATTTTACTAAGATCTGCCATCTTTATTCTATTTACGGTTAGATCTCTTAGGTATTGTTGAGAACATTTGCCCCAGTCACATTCTCTTACCAGACTTATCAGAGCACACTTTTCAATTACCCTCTCTATCAAATAAGACAACCAATCTTTGCCTCACGTATTAAAACTAAATATCTGATTTTGGCAACTGTAGAACACACCTTTTCATTTACAGATAAGAATAGACATTGATACTTCTAATTTAAAATTGCTTAAATAGATTTTTTGTGAATGCAAGTTCTTTATTTAGCCATACATCAAATAAAAGTTCAGTTATTTCTGTCTTGTAATTGTTTTTGCAAGGTAATCGACCAATGTAACGCGTAATGTAAACAGTATAGCTACTGAGATCACAGAATAAGGTAGACAAGGTTATTTAAATTTAGGTAGTAAAGTTATGTGTGTGTGTAAAACACAAACATGTTTTAAGACAAGAAACGGCTGTTGCAAAAAAAAGGTCACATTCAGTTCAACAAAGATCTTAAATCTGATTTTAAATGTCATTTCAACAACTAAACATTTTTTACACTTTCTACCAAGTTAGTAGTCTTGTCTAATTCATAATTTTGATGTAGAACTGAGGACAAAGGAAATTATTAGTAAAAAAAAAAGTACTGAAGAAATTAATCCTGTGTAAACTAAACAAATTCCTGGACCTGATGGCCTTCATGTTAGGTTTTTAAAAGATGTACAAGAATAATGGCTTTGATTTTTCACAATATCCTGGAATCTAATCAAATAGTTGCGAATTATAAAAAAGCAAACAAAGCTTTGCTAATCAAGAATGCAGAAGAAAAGATATGAAGCCAGATTACTAGTTATAGAGTCAAACAGCACGGAAACAGCATGGTCCAACTTGTCCATGCTGACCAAGTTTCCCAAACTGAACTAGTTCCACTTGCCTGCATTTGGCCCATATCCCTCTAAACATTTCCTATTTGTGTAC